TGGTACCAATTCGCCGACCCCGGAGGGATGGAAGGCTTGGTTGGCCTAGGCGGGCATCGATCCGGGATTCGAACCCCTGTCCGTGCGTGTGATATAGTGCGCCACTTGCCACTACACCACCTCCGCCCTATTAGAACATACTCAAACTAATATATCAATGAAGTGTGACAGAATAATGTTGGGTTCGTAGGCTTATACTGTCGGGGTAAAAAGAACAAATGAGAAATGAAGGTTTCAGAAGACCTCAGTGGAACAGGAACTTAAGGTAATTTCACGATTCTGTCAACACAAACATACCTTAATCTCGGTAGATGGCGGTAGTGTTGCTACTTGAGCGAAGAGGACATCCACTTTGTCACCACACTTGCACTTTATGTGGAATGGCAAGCCTGTAATAACTACATGGAAGTGCCGGTCGAACACAAGGAAACAGTTCAACAAAAAAATTGTTTAAAAGTGGCTCTAACATAAGATGAAGCAGCACTGTTATGAACACGCAATGCCGTAGTGATAGTGGTAAGGTACGGTGAACACTTTTGCACGGAAAATGAACGCTTTCAAATCTAAACAGCTACGAACGTATTTATTCGAATGTTGTTATTCATTGAAAGGTTTTGTGGCTTGAATAATTCTCCCGCGTGTGCATACTTGAATGCACTTTAGGGCGCGCTAACTCGAGGCTCGAATTACCTGGGGTGTGTGTCAAGTCGTGCGTCCGGGGGTGCACGCGGTAAATTGCGCGGCGAAGTTCGTGGCGAATGTGGACGACTCCGGCGCCTACCATTGGGGCCCAAATCTGAAGTAAGGTAGTTTAGTAAGGTCAGCTGATCCTACTATTCTACTGTACTTCGAAATTGGGCCCAAATAATATGCGCTAAAGACGTCAGAATAGGTATGGGTTTCGCCGCGCAATTTGCCGCGCGCATCCTCGGACGCACGACTTGACCGTCCCCCAATTACCTGCCGAAAACTTAGCGGACGAGTTGCGCACGATATCTGCTTGGTTTGGGCGGCAACTTCTTTCCTTAAAAAATCAAAAGTCGAATTTGTTGTGCGACCAAGAGCAGCTTCAACTCCGATCAGTGTTACACTTACAGAAACGAAAATTCATTACGAGCACTCGACTCTTACAGTAACCCGGGAAGGCATAACACCATTTAAATACGCAAATCTTCCCCGTTACGTGAATGACGCGTTGAAGAGGGGGCCTTTGGCAAGGCACAGGGGTGGTGGGGAAGCTAGGAGGTTACTGTAAGAGCTGAGTGCCCGTACTGAATTTTCGTTACTGTGAAGGTAATCCTAGCCACCCACATTATACCGGAGCTCTTGCTCCGCGGTCTCTACAAAAGAGCTCAGTTCCCTTATGCTTGTATATAAAAGATATCGTCCTCAAGGCTAAGAACTTTTTGCTTGTTGCTAACGTTTGTTTTCAAGGTATCTTGTTTTAGTACCATGTCCACTAAGTATTTCATGTTTTCTATTCAGATGCTTAGGAACGTCGAGATCAAAGCGAGGGTACGCAACCGTGATGAGGTTCTACGTCTAGCCAGTGAACTGACTGGTGAGCAACCAACAATTTTAAAACAGCATGATCTCTTCTACAATGCCCCAGAGGGTCGTCTCAAAATGCGAACTGTCGAAGAGAATGGAATAGTCAGTGACAACTGTGCTTTTCTTTATTTTTCTACCTTGGAAGGCCAAGATCTCTTTTATGTCATTTCCAAATTTTCGTTCTTATAATCATTAGTGCTTTTCTCAAACGTTCAGTCGTATGTCATACTCAGCTATTCCAAGTTCAACACTTTTCCATTTTACTTTGTCGAGTTCAGTTCCAAGCACAACTCTGTAAATGATTCTTTAGCATCGCTCTGAACTAATTTGGTACGATCGACCGAATTTCGCGGGACCAAAGGAGAGCAAGTTCAACAAGCTTGACATTCCTGAAGGAATCAATGAAGGGCTAAGTGTGAGTTTTCTATATGTTTCTGGTAGCAATTTACCATCACGCCATCGTTGGAGCTCTGGTATCGTCTATTTGTTCTGATATAATTATAATTAATATGTGGAACAAGACTCGCCTGGCCGGACAAAAGCACTAACTTATGCAGTGGCTGGCCTCCGCAAGTGATTGTATAGACCACGTACGCATTTAATCCTCCACGATCTCAATGGAGTCGAATGCGAAGATGCATCCCTCGGACTGGATTGGTTCACTTCAAAAGACTTTGGAGGCATAGGTCACTATATAGGACTACGATTGTAAGTGACTGAACTCTGGGGCGCATCCATAAGATGAGCTTGGTCTACGCCCGAAGCCTTTTATCTTCTGTCGATGTTTATATGGTAGCTTCAGACCATATGCCTATGAAACCTAAATGGCTTCTTTTCCCGTAATCATTTCTCACCGAATAAACGGCATCAATTCGAATAGTTCTCCTTTTCTTAAATTTTCGGCTCTTCGGCGATGATAATTCGTGTTTTTACCTAGGAATATGATCGCCTCTTTTTTTTCACGAGTACGAAGAAGCAGTGAAGCATTCCCACTCTGCATTTTTTGAACTATCTAATAATTACCAAATTTTCACCATTTGTTCAGATTACAGATGAAAAAAGTGTGCCAAATTCGAGATTGTTCGACTTGTTGTTGTGTTCNTGAAACTGCTTTTAAGAGTACGAGGAATTTTTGCTCTTATATTGCCTTCAAAGATTTAGTGATTGGGAAAGTTGATGTCCACTAAGAGATGGTCTGTTATAATTTGCTGATTTCTTTCTACTGTATTGATTGTGCTCGTAGATTCTGGATTGATTTCAGGCCATTCTGCGGTGTTCGATGGGATTAAAAGGAAAAATAAAGAAGACTCGAGCCCTATTCATCTATGGTAGAACACGGATTCACATAGACTATGTTGACGGCCTCGGAGACTTCATGGAGCTGGAGGTTCATTTTGTATGTATTTATCGAAAGGTGGAGGGATCGGCAGTGAACAAGGCAGTGCCACATGGATACAATCCTAACATTCAGCCATACCTAAAATTTATTAGGCATTCGAGAATATGCTCCAGTTGTAGGCCAGCTTCTAAGAGGCACCTGAAGTTCAGTTCACTGTTTCCAAACTTGCTGTTAGATCTAGGCCTCTTCAGTCTGCCGTTAATCCCGCGCCATCGCAGGATTCGCTAGTCTCTACTTCCCTCTATCTATACACAGCATCTTTTGCCGTTGCTATATTCGGTCGATGACAAGGTTTTGGTAGGGTCGAGATTTTTTCTGTTTTATTTTGCGACTCAGCAAACAATGGAAGCTAATCAATGATGTAATAACCATAGTTTAGTTCTAACACTGTCGCACCTGGGTCAGCGATTCCCTTCTCCCAGAACTGGGAAGATTGGGAGTCAAAGAAGACACCGACCAATCGCACAATCGCTCGAGGTGTTCATAGTTGACGAAGGGCAATATCAGGTGAATAGGGTGGACGTTGAACCGTGTCTCAGTCAAGATGTTCCAACTGTGCACGGGTCTCTTTACCAATGTGAAGCGGTGACGGTGTGGACTTGCTTGAGCATTCCTTTTGGATCACAGAAGCAACAGAGGAGAAACTTCCTTGGGTGGAGGCATGATTTGGCTTGTGTCGGCTGCTGTTCTGCGTAGAGGGTCCAGTTTTCATCTCCAGTAACAAGGTCTTCCAGAAGCTTTTGCGATGTTGGCGGAGAAGGAGAGACTGACAAATGTATGGCCTGGTATACGCACGCTATCAGTCAAGCCAGGTATCCAGCGAGTCAGCACTTTTATTTACCCGAGGGCCCGAAGGCGACCGACGACTGTTGATTAGGGGTGAGTCTACATAGTTCCACTTCTAATTACTTCGCACCTTCCTCGCCCATCCACTCACTCGCCTGTGGGGTGGTCTCGCTTAATTGGTTGGCTGCTGACCTCTCTGCCAGACCACCATACTCAGAAGTAACAATATCGATTATATGATTGAGAAACTTCTAAAGCATGAGAAATAAAATAATGCAAAGCAAAAAATAAAATAAATATGCAACACATTAATAATGCCACCCAGAAAGCTTTGGAGGCTAATGTAATGATTGGAAAAATCATAGGATGGGGAAAGGATTTATCGCATCGTGTGAGCATTCTCACAAGTCGTCTGCAGGCAAACTACATATTAGTCACCAGAGTGACCTTTCACGCTTTTTTGACACCCTTTATCGCTTTCTTTGGACATTGCCAGTAGGTCACCTGAAGGTATTCAAACATGCAGATGAAAACAACATGAATCACCTCTGTAGTGTGTTTGTCATCGCATGAGCACGTCTCATTTGTACTACTCTGACTTCGACTACAGAGCTTTCTCCGGTTTCTAGTTAAGATTAACTGCTCCTTTGTTCCTTCTTATTCCTACGGATCCCTGTATTTAGCTAACCCACCACAATCCACTGTACCACCCATATTTTATGCACCTTCACCAATTCCACCACATGCATTTTCCCTTTCTGTTCCCTCGAGTGCTGTAGCTCCTTTGACCCATTGCGAACCACGTGCTGCACATGATGAAGCACGCCCCTCTGCCTCTGCGCGCCCGCTTTTTCGTCCAAAATCACTCTAAAGTTTTATTAAATCTCGAACAGCCCATACTTTGCGATTCGCTCAAACAACCGCTCTGGGTGGCTGCGTGCTGCACGCCGTGAACCACGTCGGCTGCGTCGATTTTGAAGGAAACGTCGGGCACATGCGGCAGCTAGTGCGAAACACTGCGGTACGCAATGGGTTAATTTATCTTGTGCGTTCGAAAGTACTGCGAGCTCTGTCAACCAAAACCCTTCGTTTTTAAAAACCTAGGGGCAGCTACAGCTACCTCAAATCGGTCTACACCCAAGTGCAAACATATGTTGGCGAAAGGCAGGTAAGCAAGGGAAGAGAGTATCACATGCAATCGTAAGCAGGAAATAGAGCAATTCTGCAGGAAAATATGAAAATATATAGTTACGTCACCGACAGTGCTTCATAGTTTCCTTATAATGTAAAGATTTTTAATTTTTACATTGTACTGTCCCAACTGCATATTATTTTAAAATGTGTAATAATAACTAATAATAATAATAATAATAATAATAATAATAATAATAATAATAACGAGGTTTCCATTTCATAAGACCAATATCAGTTCACTCAGATGCCAGAGAGGTCAGCAGCCAACCAATTAAGCGAGGTTACCCCACAGGCGAGTGAGTGGATGTGCGAGAAAGGTGCGAAGTAAGTAGAAGTGGAACTAAATGCCGACTCCCGTTGATTAGAAATTCTGGATCTTCTTAGACGGTGTCGAGAATAACGGAGTCGTCGACGGCGAGGGGTGTCCCGACCGAAGCTTGTCTGCGAAGCCCGTGCCTCCTTCCTTGAAGCGAGCGAACCAGCGACGGGTCGTAACGATGGAAGATAAAGTCCTTCCTCCATACATTGTTGATGTTGCGAGTGGTTGCCGTCGCTTCGGTGCCGCAGCGCCACTCGTAGAAGATGTATGATGTATGATGTATCGACCAAGGCCACGTAGAATTGAATTCGTGTTTAAGCTCAAGCAGGAAGTGCGTCTCTATATACTCACGATGGAGAAGATCCTAGAAGTTCCATCACTACCACACGGTACATCATTGGTATCGATTAATAAAGTCGGCACGACCTGGTCTTGTTAGGACGTTCGACCAAATAATTCTCGTGGTATACACCGATTCGAACTATTGCAAACAAGCTTTCGAGCGTAATTTTATGCGTTGCAAGCAGCAACGTAAAACAGATTATGGCGAACGAAACGGAACAACAGCGTACTCGTGATTTTGAATAGGGATGAGGATGTAAAAAAACACCGCAAGGAAATGGTAACGATAAACGATCTAAAAGTGCAGTGATGATATGACGAGAAATGAGAACAACCTCACAAAATTATAAACAATGACTGAAATGGCAATAAAGCAAATGATCAGCGACAGCCAGCAAAAGAAATGCTCGGGTTCGAGCTGTGTTGGCACAGGGGCCCCGGGGCGTCCAGCAGAGAGACAAAAGAAGTGAAGGAACGACGAAATAACAAATATGAGCGACAGCAAAAGCTAAGTGCGAATATTGTGAGGCGGTGAGGATCTGGGGGTGACCTGCTTGGGGGAATCTACTGGCAAATCCTTCTTATGTTTCTGCGGGAACAGCGGCGGGCTTTTACTGGAACAACAGCGAGCTCCCGGACGAGGGTAAGAAACGGCGACTGAAAATATCAGAGCGTTGGTTCCGCTCGGCACTCTCTTCTCGCGCGAACGCTGCAATAGATCATTGATAATCGTAGATCAAAACATTGGCTCACTGACTCCTCTCCTAACAATAATCAAAAGTCCAGGAACATTCAAAAAAAACCTCCTGTCAAAATTTTTTGAGCAACCTAATACCTTGGTCATGTCGTTCTTGATCACTTCCCATCACTTCTTCGGTGCTCTCGCGTCTTCAGCTGGATAGGGGATGTTTGCATTGCCGATCTTACGTCTCTGATCCGGTTCACTCGCGTCGAACCGCAGTTCCATCCGACAATTCTAATTTTATCGAATTGAAGCTGTCTTTCATGATTCTGAGAGATGGGCCAGCACTCACTGGCGTAGAGCATCACGGGCCTCAGAACTGCTCTGTATAACTTTTTTTGAGCTTCCTGGTGCACCGCTGATCGCAAAGGTCTTACTTGGACCGCCTCAACTTCTTCTTTCAGGAGTCCGATAGACCACTTTATCCCGTGCAGTGCGAGCATCTTTAGTGCCTCGGTATCCCATCTAAACCAGTTGCCTTCGCAACCCTCATCTTTCCTATTGCGCACCTCATCCTCTGTTCCTAGTTAAATGTAGCTGCCCGTCGAACTTTTTCCCCCTACGCCTGGTCTCACCGCGCTCCTTAAAGATTGCACCCTCGCTATTCTTAACGAAATTCATTACCCCGATGACCAGAGTAGCCCGTTGCCGCACTTGCGCCAACCGAAAGAACTTTTCTTCTGCTCTACCATAGAGTTTTTAATAGAAGGCGTTCATTTCCGTATTCTTTGCATTTGCTTCAGCAGCCTTCAGGTTCTATTGGCAACTAGGTCTTCTGGAGCTCGCATCCTTTGCTATTGCTATGCCGCTTTCTCTTCCTAACAACCCGCTGGGCCTCATCGTTTCAGAACATGTTCCCGGTTCCCCTCGGAATCCGCCTCGAGTTTCCCCGCAGCGTTCCCCTTGCACATTGTACGAAAACTTTCACGCCATTGTTTCGTCTACTCATCGGCCCTTACGAATCTAGGAGTCCACTTTTCACTATCTTCTCTTTGAGAAAGAAAGGTTTTCCTTCGACTCGGTGCACCTTCTACCACCGAATCCTCTGTTCCGTACCTGTCCTTGATTTCTCAAGAAGTTAGAGGTTTCGCCTCCAGAAGAGAGGCCCGTGCTGTGGAGCCATATCTTCTCTCCTGACCCAAATTCTCTTGCCTCCGTGAATCTTTTCAGGGTTCTTCGTTCTCTCCCGAAGGGACCATTAAGATCATCCACTGCTGTAAGATAAGTTCTCCTCCGAGACTGATCTGATGAGTTTTCCAGGGCCTGATAAAACTATCTTTTCCGTCGTCGGTCTTGGGAGCTGCCTTTTGCTGCGTACACGGATATTACTTCCAGTACCCCCTCTTCGTGTCTGTCTGCAGTGTCGTGATTCGGCCGGTAATCCTGTTGATAGCCCAGACAGAGTCTTTGAAGAGCTCCACTATACATAATGCCCATTCCTTTCGTTCGGTGTGTTCTCCGTTGTAGTAGAGCATCACACCCCCTCCTATTTCTCTGACTTTCGCTCCTTTCCACAGTATCTCTTGAAGGCATAAGACATGAATATTTCTGTGCTCCGTTATGTCAGCCACCTCTCGAGACTTTCCAACTTGATAATTCTTATTCGACCGAGGTCGTTCACTCTTCGGCACCCCTCGTACACTGTCCACAAAACCTTTCTGGTGGCGGCCTTGCTTCGTCACTATTCTTTTTTGGAGCTTTGGATTTATTGTGATTGGGGTTTTTCATGTGCCTTTCAACCCGGGCCCAACGTTGGTGCCGATATCTTTTTGCAATTTTTGCAATATACGAAATTGCCTCGATAGGGGACGAAGTCGCGTTCTAATGTAAGTACAGGCATGAGCCTACACTCATATTCACTCGGCTATCCCTGCCTAACCGATTTATTCAGTGCGCTGTATATAATTTAAGACCTGATGCTCAGTATTTCTGCCTCTTAAATCCCCCACAATTGGTGGCACCTATTCGTAGCTACTAACTACTACTGCCCCTGACAGTCAGTCCGAGGGAACAGGGTAATGAATTTCCGGTGAGAAACATAACACACGCACAAACCCAATGTCAAACACAATCACCGAAAAACCAACACAAACACTTAGCACGCTATGCATAGTGGGGTTAGATGGGTGTGGTGCAATTCACGCGTCAATATAGTGAGGTCATCGGACAAAACGCGCTGAAACAACCTTCCTACCATCATAATGGAAGAAATAAGAACTTAGAAAAAAAATTTTAGAACTAAGTAGAATAAGTTTAAAAAATGACCAACTATGCACGTTTACAGAAGGATTGCGTTCTATAGTATCCAAAAAATCTGAAGTTATTCTTATTTTAAACGTTGACAAGTGAATTGTTGATCTATGAGGTGAATTCCTAATCTTGAAGGGGCTTCATTGCCGTAGCATAGAGATTTGCTCTAATTCATGGTGAAGCCGTGGACTACTGCAAATTTATTTGGTCTATCTCAACAAAAAGGTACTGAAACGATGCTGCGTGCTCGAAGAGCGCTGATGGGGTCACGCGTGAATCGCGCGCCTCCCGGGTTAGAGTAGGTTAGGGATACGATGGGATACTTGAGAATTACGGTGCTTGACTTTTCTCCTTGGATAGCCTACAACCTTTTTTTATCTGCTTGTGGAACTTTCTTTGACAGAGTAATGAATGTTTGACCTCACTCCGCCCACCCTATTGCACGCCCCCCCCC